TTTTTTTTTTTTTTACTTTTTGAAAAAAATGCAAGGGGCAAAATTGTCCAAGGAGGGGGCGGTGAGTAGTAATAGGGGGCGGTGAATAGCCATTGAGAAAATTAATGGCGACATAAAAATCTCCAACGGATATCCCCCGCTGCTCTGTCTCTCTCTCACACACATTCATCGTGTCGTCCACTCGATTCAGTGTCATCGTCAATTGATTCATAAACACACACACACATCCACAGTAATGTCTGGTGTTCTTCCTCATTCAATCAGAGTCCATCTAAGCTATTCATCACCTCTCAACTTCAAGAAACAGCCGCCTTCACCTCCTGCTATCTCTTTACCTCAATCGTCGTCTTCTCGGTTGAAGCATGGAGATGGGTCCAGGCTCATGCTCCGAAGAAACGGGCTACTTCTTGCGCGGGCCGAAGATAGGGCCCGAGATAGTTCTTCTAATTTGTCGAATCGACCACAGCCCAGCTCAGAGGTAGTTCATTTTCTTATCAGTATCACATTTGGACATCTTGGTTTGTATTAAATGAAATACAAATGGGTATTGATTGATTCGATGTGTTTCAGAATTTTTTTTTGAGGTGAAAGGTTGGATAATTAGTGCTTGGTAATGCGAATTCTTCAGCTTTAGTTTCAATTTGTACACAAATGATGTTGTCAGGCTCAAAAAAAAAAAGCATAGTTATACTATGATGTGTTTGTACAGGATATGAGTCCACCTGGAACATGTGATCCTTTGTGTTCTGTTGATGAGACGAGCTCCGAAGAATTCGAAGCCAATTATCAACCAAAGACTGATTTCGTGAAAGCTCTTGCGATTCTTGCAGCTGCTGGAACTGGAACATTAGCAATTAATCATTCTTGGGTGGCCGCGAACCAGGTTCATACACAGCTGTGTGAATCTCTTTCATCTTTTGTGTAATTATTCAGCTTGTGGATTAAGATCTATAATATGTAATTCATAAATTCGTAATGATTATTCAAACATCAATGAGTAATAAAAGACTAATGCAATGAGAATGTGCCATGTGGGATGTGATTCAGGATCTTGCAATGGCGTTGTTGTTCGGAATTGGATATGCTGGAATAATATTTGAAGAATCACTTGCCTTCAACAAAAGCGGGGTGGGACTTTTGATGGCTGTTAGTTTGTGGGTTATAAGGACCATTGGGGTAAGTTTCAGATTCAGTCTGAAAATACTAATTTCTTGGTGATCTTTTTTTACAATGGTTCACGTGGAGTAAGCAATTAGTAAAATATAACAGACTCACACCCACAACTGTGTGTAATGTGTGGGGAAAGCTAAATGTGTTGCTCTTCTAATCTGCTTGAAAGTAGGAGAGAGAATTTCTGTTTTGAACAAGATTTAAAGACTATCCCTTGAACGAATTTCTTTACTGATTGATATTCTCGGTATAATCGAGTCTTTGCTCATTGAATTAATCACAAAATGACTGTAAAATGACCTTTGGATAGGCCCCTTCAACTGAGGTTGCTGTTTCCGAGTTGTCTCGTGCATCAGCCGAAGTCAGTGAAATAGTGTTTTTCTTGCTTGGAGCAATGACCATTGTGGAAATAGTTGATGCTCATCAAGGATTCAAGCTCGTGACGGACAATATCACAACCCGCAAGCCAAGAACTCTTCTTTGGGTGGTAAAGTGTCCTCCAAACAATTTAAAAACAAAACAAAAGAAAAAAAAATTGGGGAAAAAAAGGAAGCTGCTCTTGTCATTTATATTTCATTTCCCTAGAATCCAACTTCTCTCTCGCAACTCATCCTTTTTGTTGTCAAAAAACTAGTTACATGGTGAAAAGCTTTGTTTCTTTTATTCAAGTAAGAAAATTTGAATCATCGAAAGCTGTAGTTTTAGGCATTTGTCTAACTCGTGCTATTATCTCCAGATAGGTTTCGTGACTTTCTTCCTGAGTTCAGTACTCGACAACTTGACATCTACTATTGTCATGGTGTCTTTGTTGAGAAAGTTGGTACCACCTTCAGAATACCGAAAGTAAGTATCTTCTAGCCACATCGTTATTGAGGATATGAAATATTTGGGGCTGGTTGTATACGGTTCTGTTTACATTTTTCTATAAGAGGGAGCATTTTGAGTGAATAAAAAAAAAAAAAAGGATTGGAAATGTTATAACTAAAGTTGATTTGACAGTGAAATTTATAGAAAAATGTGTATTAATGATTAGTGATGAAGTGGTTTGTTTGATTTGAGTAATGAGTTGTGATTGTTCGGAGAAAACGTAAAAGTGAATGTAGTGCAGTTTCCAAAAAATAAAAAATATAAAAAAATTCCGTTGTTTATTAAGTGAATAGATATGCATGACAGGATTCTGGGTGCTGTGGTTGTTATAGCAGCAAATGCGGGTGGAGCATGGACGCCTATTGGAGACGTTACAACAACTATGCTATGGATACACGGTCAAATATCCACCTTGCAGACAATGAAGGTTCTTTTACCATTCCACTTTTTTTTCCAATAAAAACCATAATTGTCTAATCATTTGAGATTTGTGAGCACCTGGATGAACTCGTGACATCTTAATCATTTTTTGTGAAACCTTTTGTAATTATTACTCGATACCTTTGATTTCATGTCCCCCCATATTGATTTCCAACTTTACAACTACTTAATTTTGTTTTTTTTTTTGTTTTTTTCTTTTTCCCTCTTTCTTGCTGTAGGACTTGGCAATACCATCAGCTGTCTCACTGGCTGTTCCTCTAGCCCTTATGTCCCTCACCAGGTACTCCTCTTTACTTGCAGAAAGCATTCATAGTAACAGTATATATTTATTTCCACATTATTTCAAAGGGTCAATTATATCCAACTTTTTTTTTTTTCGACAGTGAAGTTAATGGGAAAGGTCAGAGTTCGGCAGATGTTTTGGCATCCGAACAGATGGCTCCTCGAGGCAAGCTCGTGTTTTCGGTAGGAATTGGTGCTTTGATGTTTGTACCTGTTTTCAAAGCTTTGACTGGCTTACCACCTTATATGGGCATGCTGCTTGGGCTCGGGGTCCTTTGGCTCCTAACTGATGCCATTCACTATGGTGAATCTGAGAGACAAAAGTTAAAAGTACCACAGGCTTTGTCAAGAATCGACACTCAAGGAGCCCTTTTCTTTCTTGGTATCCTTTTATCTGTCAGCAGGTACTGTAAACTGTCCTAGCTCTACAAGTGAAAAATCTAGTTTAACTCCTTATATTCATTTCTGATTTCTTGCCTCGTTAATCTCAAAAGCTGCAATCATTCTTACACTTCCATCTTACATTTTTGCACCCTCTGTCAACTCGGGGTTAACAAATTTTCTAGCATCATCAGATTTTCATGAAATTACCTTGCTTGAGTTTCTTTTTCCTTGTTCTTTTCTTTAATAATACAAAGGACCCCCCAACTCTTAGGGCGTCCTTGGCGCTCAAAACGAGTTTTTTTGGTTAACCACGGTTATTTTTGAAAAAGGTAGTGTGGTTAGTTGTTAGTGGGATTTTGAGTTTATATTAAAATCATATTTAAAATAAAATAATTAAAGTTAATTTGATGTAAAAGTAGGAGGGAGATCATATGAAGTAATGGTTAGTTAAGATTATGTGAGTGGATGAATAGTGAATTAAAGTTGATGTAATGTGTAAGAATGATTGATTAATATTATTCAATTATATTAAGGATAGTGGGGTTGAGTTAGATTTTGAGCATGATCTGGGTTATTTTAAACACAAACACACCCTTGGTTTTACACTTCACAATGGCACCCTTCATCTTTTCCAAATACAACTAATAGTCGCACGAAAAGTCGAGTTTTGGTATTTATCTGATACCATTAATTTTCACATGCCGCCAGCCTGGAGGCCGCAGGTATTTTGCGGGAAATAGCAAATTACCTCGACACCCACATTCCGAATATTGAGCTGATCGCAAGTTCGATTGGAGTTGTGTCGGCTATAATAGACAACGTCCCATTAGTAGCAGCAACAATGGGAATGTATGATCTTTCTTCTTTCCCAAGAGATTCCGAGTTCTGGCAGCTCGTGGCCTATTGTGCTGGCACAGGTGGATCAATGCTCGTCATTGGATCAGCTGCTGGTGTAGCATTTATGGGGATGGAGAAAGTGGATTTCTTTTGGTATCTACGCAAGGTACAAATTTTTGCTTGCTCGAGTGTAGATATTTTAAACGAAACCTACCGATTCACAATCTGTGATTGTAAGTTTTATCATTTTTTTATCCGTTTTGCAGGTGAGTGGCTTTGCTTTTGCTGGATATGCTGCAGGTATTGCGGCATATTTGGCTTTACATAATGCCTTCAACTTCACCATGCCGACAACGCTTGCTAATGTCCCTTTCCTCTCGGGTTCATAGATAATATAAATTAAATCAGTAAAATAAAAATGCCAATATGTCACTCGAAGCACAGTAGGGTTTCTGGGTATTGATAATTCCAGTAGATCTCATCTTAAAGGTTTATAGCAAAAGGGCAACGAAATATATTCTGTTCCTTCTCACGTATTTCTGTCGTATAATGAAAAATCATTGATCTGGGTACGACCCCTCCGAGTTTTTGGGATGATAATATTTACGTCGTAAATGTTTTTTATTTTTGTTCCTTACATTGCCAATGCTTGCATGAGCAGAGAACTAACTACACAATTTGCTCTAATTGCTCCAAGATATAAAAATTAAAAAGAACATGATGCTTTCTTGATAAAAATTAAAACACAGCACAGGATAGCAAGATTCAGTACAGCAATAGGTAAAAAAAACCATCAACCACATATTCCTAATCCCAAAATTTGACACTACCAAATCATTTCACAGTTCCTTTCTCTCCATAAACTAAAATTCTCCTAAGACAACAGCAGACCACAAAAAAATGATGACAAATACTAAAGAAAAATGCTACAAGTACATAATAAATGTACATAGAGGTGTACATAACACTCACATGGAGTGGGGTCCAATGTGAGTGTTATGTACACCTCTATGTACATTATTATGTACCTATAGCATTACTCAATACTAAATCCATAACAACAACAAACTTACAGCTTGAGATAAACAAACTCCTCAATAGCCGGAATCTCGCCAATCCTAGTCAGCGACTCCTTGCTCGGCTCTTCATCCACCCCAATCGCCATCACCGCCTGTTTCCTTGGCGCAATCCTCCCAACGCTCATAAAGCTCACATTCACATTCTCCTCTCCCAAAATTCGACCCACATGCCCAATCATACCCGGCTGATCCACTTGCCTGCACAGAATAATACTCCCTTCCAAGCTCACGTCAACCTCAAACGACCCAACCCTAGTCAGGTGCGGAATTCCATCTTTAACCCTGCCTTCTACCTTAATCTCGCCTGAGTCAGTTATAGCACTGGCGAATTTCGAGTCGACATTGGCAATGTGGACTTGGATGAGCTCGAGTGGGTTTTCGGGGGATGAGTCGAGAAGGAGTCGTTGTTCGGTTATGCGGAGGCCCCTTTGTTTGGCGGTGAAGTCGGCATTGACGAGGTTGACGAAGGAGGTGGAGATGGGCTCGATGAGGCCTTTGGTGATCATGGCTCGGAGGAGACGGGTGTCGAGGTCATCGGGTGCGCGGGCGGAGGCGTAGGTGACTTTGACGGTTTTCACGCCGCTGCCGCCGGAGACGAGCTGGACAGCTAGGCGGCCGAGTTTTTCGGCGAGAGTGACGTAGGGCTTCAGTTCGGTCAGAACCTGGGAAGAAAATGAGGTTTTNACCATTTCTGCTGCATGACTATCATTCTGAGCTCAAAATGCAATGACATATTCGAATTTTAAATAAGGAAAGCTTGGTTTATGAGAAATAAAGGAAAATTCTGATCTTCAAAGTGACAAGTATGAAGGACAGCAAATACATCAAATTCAATGTGAAAAAACTCATCAGGTGAATGTGTTAGAAGCAACCAGGAGAAATATAGAAAAAAGGTGATAAATGAACATTAATTCAGGTGATAAACAGGATATTCTCGTAAGCACATGTACTCAACAAAAAAATTGGAACTAAGAAAACAGAGCTACAGCCGAGAGAAATATAGAAAAAAGGTGATAAATGAACATTAATTCAGGTGGCAGTTTTCCCACTTAAAACTTGGAAGATTTGGCTCGTACCTGAGCAGGAACCATTGGTGCGTTTACAGCAGTAGCAGCAAGCTCCCCCTTCAATGCTCCAACAACAGCTTCAGCTATTTCAATGGCAACTCCTTCCTGCACATAAATCCAAACAGGATCAAACAAATATTGAAGCTCAAGCACAAAGGAAACAGTTGAGCATCAATTTTGCAAACCTGAGCTTCTGTAGTGCTGGCACCTAGATGTGGGGTTGCAATTACATTCTCATGCTGTACGAGCTTGCTATCTTTAGCTGGGGGCTCTTCAGTAAAGACATCAAGTGCTGCCTGAAGATCAATGATACAGTAGTAAATTGGCAAAGTACAGATAGTCGCCCCCATGCCCCTAATAAATGAGTGTTTACACTCACTCAACAAGCTTTCATACGCACACAAAAACCAAAAAGGGAAACGTGATTCTGGGTTTTAGCTTCAATCCATCACATTAGTTTTTTACGAATGATAATTTTGCTTCTTTTAGGTTTAATTAAATTTTCAACTCCGCCACGCACTCTCTCTTTAAATTTTTAGTCATCTTTAGTTTGTATTTTGTGAACACTATCAAATTATATATAAAAAAAAACACTTCCTTTCCATAATTATCATAACTAAACTCATTCTTAAGCAATTCAAGGATAAAGGCGAAACCTGAGCAACAATGCCAGTATCAATAGCCCTCACTAAAGCCTCCTCATCAATCACACCCCCACGTGCAACGTTCACTATTCTGACACCCTTTTTCATCTTGGCAAAAGTCTCGTCGTTTAGAACTTTCGATGTGGCAGCAGTAAGAGGCATGTGAAGGGAGATGAAATCAGCAGTTGCAATAGCCTGATCAAAGCTCACAAGCTCGACACCTATTGCACGTGCACGGTCAGCCGGGGCATAGGGATCGTGTGCAATGACGTGCATACCAAGTCCCTTGGCACGTCTAGCTACTTCTGATCCAACCTTGCCAAAACCCATGACAGCCAATGTCTTACCAACGAGTGAGACACCTACATATTTGCTCCTCAGCCATTTACCTAGATTATTGCAGCATAAGAAGTTGAGAATGTTATTTAGCAAATAAAACACAATTTATATCATTAAATGTTATCAAAATGACAGGAAATGTAAATCAATTTAATTTTTTTATTTGTTTATATCCAGTTTTGGCATCTATTCAAGTGCCATGCTCATTTTTTATGTGTTCTCCCCACAGAGCAAGTGACATAGTAAAAGATTTAATGCTGAAAAGCAGATATACATGAAATACTAAACTCAAGAATGTAGACCACACAGAGTACAAATAAAAATAAGCTCAGGAAAGAAAAACATAAATTGTTTTTAAGATTTTCACATTTGAATGAATCACCACTGTGGAATATTTGAAATCATATTGAAACTGACACTCACAATTAAAAAAGGGAAAGCATACATTTCTCTTAAAAAATCAACTTTCACATGGTGCACTCAGGGTCGAGTATTTGTACACACCAACCTTTAGCTGATTTTCACATAAACTACAGTATCTTTAATCTATCAGCATAAATTTAACATCTGCTGCAAATTCAAGAATAGACACATCAAGATCCGAAGTCGACGAAAAAAGAAAAATGAAAGGACTCACATTTTGCAATAGTCCAACTTTATTTTATGGAAAAAAAAAAAACCACCAACCAAAATTCAACTACATGTCTAAATCATCCCCAAAAGACCCAAAGTAACCTGTTCGACGAATTGTCTGTCAGGGATTTGAATAACATCAATTCACATACACCCAAAAGATTCAAAAATAGCACTAACCAGCCTTGACAGAGGCATCAGCCTGAGCAATGTTCCTCGCCATGGCAGTAAGCAGCGCGATCCCGTGCTCCGCCGCGGCCACGGTATTGGCGGTCGGCGCATTCACCACGAGACAGCCGTGTTCAGTCGCCGCCGCCAGATCCACGTTGTCAATCCCGACGCCGGCCCTACCTACCACCTTCAGCCTCCCCGCGGAGGACTCGAACACCTCGCGGCTGACCTTGGTCCCGCTCCTCACAATCAGGGCGTCGCAGAGCGAGATCTTGGTGCAGAGCTCCTCGGGGCTGAGGTTGTACGAGCAGTCCACGTTCGCGAACTCCTTGAGGAGCTTCACCCCGGCCTCGCCGAGCTTCTCGGCCACCAGAATAGTCGGCTTCGCGTCCATCGAGAGGACGACAAAGCGGCGGGGTCGGATGCCTTGGCGTCGGAATGAAGGGGTGGCGGCGCCGAAAGTGAAGGTGAATGGAAGAGGGCGAAGCCGCGAGACCGCGGCGGCGGGCGGCGAGGGTTTAAGGCTGGTCCACGAAGCTGCAGCCGCCATTTTTCAGTATCTTGTGTTCGAGAAGAGGGTGTCAGCTAAAATGCGCCGGAGTGAGGGCTGTGCGGAGTGCGTGCGGGATAAAAACGTATAAATACTTGTTTTTAAATGTAATTATATAATACTAATCTTATTGTAAGTGCTTATTATTATATAAACTCAAAATCATGGGTCAAGGTCAACATGAAAATGATATAGTGGAATATAAGTACTTTCTTTTCCAACGAAATTCAAAATCTGCCCTTTTACATTTGACTTCCACAAAAATTTTAAATAAAAACTTGAGTCTCAATTTTTTAAATTTTGGATTTATAAAAGCATCCCTAATTATTAAATCTCTTAAGGTCAATGTATCATATAAGTACAAGCCAGTATTTGTGGACTGAAATATAATTAAACTCAAAAGTATATATCTTTGAGGATTGAAACCTAATTAAACTCAAAAGTATAGTAGAAAATACTTCATATATCTTTAATGAATACTAGTGCGTGGCCCGTGCGATGCACGGAAAAACAATATTACGATTATATTATAAATTATATATATAAATAACATTAATCATGATTTATCTATTATTTTTAACTTAAAACGGATTAAACACAGTCTGACCGAATGGACCGAGAACCGGTTTATAACCAGTCTAGTTCGCTTGAATAAAATATTTGCTATCAAATCCGTCAACACCAGTCGATTGGACTGATATGACCGATACGATTTTTCAAATAAATTTTGTTACACTTAAAATTATTATAAATAAAATATAGATTTATAAATTATTTATCAATTAGTTTAAATATTTTAATTTATAAATTGTTTAGATATTAAGTAACACATTTTATTTAATTTATTACAAAAAGTATTGTATATATATATATATATATATCTATCTCTCTCTCTCTCTATATATATATATATATATATATTAAAATGCTTATAAATTAAAATATGAACAAACCACAAATAATTTAATAAAATAGCTTGATCGTTTCGATGATGGTACGGTTCTGAAAACCTTCTATTTATTGTACATTAATAAACATTGTTTAAAATATTATCTAATTGACATAAATATTATTAATAAAATGATATATAAATATTCATAAATCATTAAACATGCTGTCATAAACATGGTTAATACGATTATTTGAAGTTTGGACTACATCACATTCACGTAATAAAATATTTTTAATATTAAAATTTATATTTAGGTTCAATAATCGATTTTGTCTGG